TGGTCCAAAGAGTGGATGATGTCTTTCAACCCTAATAAAACTGAGGCCCTTATCATCTCAAATCTGCAGCTTCCATTTGTCTCATCGTTTAACTTCAATGATACTCCCATCAATATTACTATAATATTACTTTAATATCGAATTCAAAATATCAATAAATATAAATTGATTGTGATAGTACGTATACACATATTTGGTTTTGCTTCTGAATGGAAGCTTTTTAGGTTTCATATTTAATTAATGATAAGCATTTCAACCTTATAACTCCTAATCAATATTACTAAACAACACAAACACTAAGGTGTTATTATTTCTAACGACTGTAAATGGAACTCTCATGTTGAGTACATAGTTAGTAAAATAACTAAATATATTGCCACCCTTCGTAAGCTCAAACTCATCTTAAAAAGAAACAACTTAGAGAAGTTATTTTTAATCTATATTAGACCACTTCTTGAATATGCATGCGAGGTTTGGGGCAACTGCGGTGTAACTAATTCCCTAATACTGGAGAAAATTCAACTAGAAACTGCTAGAATTGTCACTGGAATGCCCATTTACACGAAAAAAGAATTTGTATATCAGGAAACTGGCTGGTTACACCTCGCCAAAAGAAGAGATGCTCGGAAACTTTCTCTATTTTATTCTATTGTTAACAATATGGCACCAAATTTCTTATTGACATGTTGCCAGATTATGTTGGAATTATAGTCCCATATAGTTTATAGTTTACGAGGAGCTCATCTGCTGAGAGAACAACAGTTTCGTTTACGCTCGTCAAAAATTCTTTCTTTCCCTCTGCCCTCTGCAACGAATCTCTGGAACAACCTGAAAAACGATATCAGAAATTCACCCTCATTAAATTCGTTTAAGTCAAATGTTAAAAAGTCCTTGTTGGTGAACATTAATTCAAGTAAGAAATTTGTTAATTATGGATCTAGGAAATTAAATATTCTTCACTGTCGCCTAAGAAACCGAGCAAGCTCACTCAACTATGATCTTTTTATAGCCAACTTAAGGGATAAGGGATTCAGCAGAGTGTAGATGTGGGCATCCCTGTGAAGATTCTTATCTTTTTTTTTACTTTTTTGTCCCCTATATCAGAACTTACGTAGAATATTATATACAGATCTAGCATGGTACGATGGTGTTCTTGATGTAAACTTACTCTGTAATGGTGACGATAGTGTTTCCTCAGATGATAACAATAAAATTGCCAAATCAGTACAAAACTTTCTAGGTAGGTCGGGAAGATTTGATTAATTCTCTGTTTCTCTATTCATACCCCGTCATCCTCCTTTCTCTCTCCCACTATCCTTCTATCACCCCCCCCCCCCCCCCCCCCACTCCATTTCACTGGAATATGTTTCATCAATTTGTTATGTTTCTTAATGTATATTATCTTCCATGCCATCACGTGCCCTCAATTGTAAATATGTTATGTATGTTATTCGGAGCAGTCATCTATAAGTTGGAAAAACTTACTGACTTATCCTATTGTCATATTATATGTCAATAACCTATGTTTAAACTAACCCTTCCTATTAAATCTTCTGCCCAAAAGGGAAAAACCCACAATCTATTTTTGATTTGGTTCCGTAGTTCCTAAATGCTGGAAATACAGTGTCGTTACGACACAAGCTGGATTTGAAGAGAGCAAACACTTCAATATAACAACAGCGGATGAACACCCGAAAACTTGCAAGTTCATGATCGGGTGATTTGCGTTGTGAGACTAACGCTCAGAATGTCGTCATCCATCATCTTATATTAAAACGGAAAGGGAAATAGTTAATTTGTAAAGTAAGTTCCACGAAAAGTACTGTATGCTAGTGTCAATGGCAATTCAGTGCCGTTGTTTAACAGTGTTTCCTGAAAGCACATCTCTGTCTACCAGTTAGAATCGCTCGGTATTTGACCAATCAAGGGACTCCATCCGATGAGCACTATCGATAGACCCCAGGTGCCTGTCAATATCGTGCTTTAATATCGAATTCAAGTTAAATCAAAGATAAAATATCAATATATATAAATTGATTGTGTTAGTACGTATACACATATTTGGTTTTGCTTCTGAATGGAAGCTTTTTAAGTTTCATATTTAATTAATGATAATCATTTCAACCTTATAACTCCTAACTTTGATTTGGAATCAGTGACAACGGCGGGATAAACCACCGTGTTGGCACAAGTTGAAATAAAACACTGAACTTGTCTCACTGTTGAGTTTTTGTGTGTCTTTAATGTGTATGGAGTATAACAAATGAATTGAACCAAATGGCATGATTGAAAAATTACACAGAGGAAAATCCACGCTTATATCTGGATTTTAATCTGAAATATTGACCGGTGGTCAACTGTTATTGTACCTTCAAATGGAATACTTTACTCTACATTTGTTAATCAATGTTGCATGAAGAAAACTGTATGTAAGTCCCCACATCAATACAGTGCCACAGTTTCAAAATGATTCTTAACAGATCCTCTCTGTCTACCAGTTAGATTGTAGAAGGCAATGTCCCTCCATGATCGCTCGGTATTTGACCAATCAAGGTACTCCATCCGATGAACACTATCGATAGGACCCCAGGCACCGCTCGGCTGTATGAGAGTTGTCCATCTCTGTGTTGAAGAAATAAATAGAATATATAGTCTACACAAGAAGATAACATGAATCGCAGGGACAACAAAATAAAATGCATCATTAATGTTTGCTTAGACATTGTAACACGGAGCATGCATCATTTAGAGACTGTGCATTTTAACACATTTCCCAATGTCGAAACTTTAAATATTTTCTGTATCGATTTTTTTTTTATAGAGGCGGCAACTGCACAGGTTTGAATCAGCTATTAGAAAAACGATGTAAAAAATGTACACATGGAAACATATAAGATACCTGAAGCTTATCTGAACCTGAATCAATTATTTAAATATGTATGTATATTATTAGTTATAAGCATGTAGGTGGTGGCCGATAGTACAATATAACTCATATAATAAAAAAAACATCTTTTATGTTAGTCTCCAAAATACATTTCTGCCCGAAGTATACAAAACTAACATAACTGGCATATTTATTATTTATATATACAGCGTTCTTACAGTTGACGGTTCCACTCAGGCAGTGTTTGCACTAGCAAATGAATAAAATGTGTCGATGGACACAGAACAAGAAGAAAGAAAATACTCAGGAAAGGAAAATTGAGGATTATTCTGTAAAGTTTGTGGTTTCTTGCTTTGTCGTTGGCCTAGTGAAAATTATTGAGGTCATGGTCGATCTGCTGTATCAATTGTGATACCAGCATCATTCTAAATTTAGTAGCTGCAAAGCATCCAAACAAAAAATAATACATTTAAGTACCTGTTTAAATGATCCAGACAGTTTAGTAAATCGCCAGACGATGTATAGAGGTATGGGGATGACCATCGAAAACGAAATCAGCCAACCAATGACGTGAGTGTACTCTGGAAAGACGTAGGAACCGTACTTTGGTGGCCGGTACGTAGCAAAGCTTGTTAGGAGCAGCAGCTGAAAGCCAATATAACAAGTCGTTCGAGGGTCATATATTGTAGCATTTATTTCCGTCATTCGTGAGTGTGATGGTACACATGTATGTCTGAGACATCCCCTTGTCGCTATAGTTTATCTAGATATTGGATCAGATTTGGTCGATTTGACTTGATAACCAGCGTATCTAATCCACTCGTGTACATGTAACATGTTGAAGGGAGAAGCTAGATGCATTTGAAATGAAAGGTTATGATACGGACAGCTATAATATAAATATTACATATAAGCTTAGCATTTTCCTTTAATAATAATAATAATAATATTATGCAGCATTTATATAGCGCCCTATATAATTTGTAAAATTACTCTAAGGCGCTTTACAACATATGGATAATAGTAATGGTTATAATTGTGAAAACAAACATCAAAGGCTTGCAATCATTTTCATACATTTAACAAGCAATGTGCACATAATTGAACAAATAAAAGGGTGGTATTTACATGACGTCTTTGCAAAGATTCTAAAATGCAGACGTGAAGAGGTGAGTTTTTATGTCCCTCTTGAACTTGGCCAGAGTATTCGACTTCCTAATAGCAGATGGTAAGCTATTCCACAACGTAGCCGAAACCCTCCCAAAGCATCTGTTTCCGTAGGTCACAGTACGAGATTTTGGGACACACAACAAAGATTCTGACTCCGACCGCAGTGATCTTGACGGCTGATACAGGGTAACAAGTTCCTGTAGGTACTGAGGAGCTGTTCCATTCAGTGCCTTGTATGTGTATACCAGAATTTTGTACTGCGACCTGTATCGTACAGGTAACCAGTGCAACGAATAAAGCGCAGGTGTGATGTGCTCTCTCTTTCGAGTACGAGTAACTAGCCGTGCTGCAGTGTTCTGAACCCTCTGCAGACGACTAGTTAGTTTGTCAGATATACCACAGAGCAGGGCGTTACCATAATCCAACCGAGAGGTAACAAGTGAATGCACCAAAATCTTGCATGCATCTGCAGTTAGAAACTGCCGAATACAGCCGATGTTCCTGATCTGGTAGTAACAGGATTTGGCAATCGCGTTCACTTGTTTCTCCATGTTCAGAGAACTGTCAAAGTATACCCCTAGTTTTTTAACAGCTGGAACAGTCTCAATAGTTCTGGCACCAACCTTGAGCTGGAGAGCCACTGTTTGCTGACACTTTGGGGAAAAGACGATTAGTTCCGTCTTTTCCTGATTAAGTTTAAGCATGTTGGCGTTCATCCAGATACCGACATCTGTCAGACAAGCTTCCAGACTTTCTGAGACTGTATTCCAACTGTCCTGTCATAAGACCATGTAATTTAAACTTTGGGCCAACAAGAGTTATAAGTATACGTTTAACATCTTGTTTAACAATCGCTATAGAAGAAACGATGTGGGTGGTTTTTTTTCATATGATTTTGAAAAACCAAATTTCATAACTCGATTATCATACGCATAAGATAGACTTATTCTATATTACTACTTACCAGGAAAAAGACAGGTGATATGTAAGCGGCTACCAGTCGGAACACGTGTGGCATTTTTCGTCCTATCATGTCTTTTAAACCAGAGTCAACACGATCACCTCCTGCAATAATTGTTCACCGATTAAAAAAAAAAACATTTAAGTGGTCGGGTGGCGCAGTGAACAGCGTACTTGCCTTTCACCAAAGCGACCTTGATTTTATCCGGGTTTTCTCGTTTCCCACCCACATTAAGATCTCACGAGCTCATATCCGAGCCAACAAGAGTGATCAATATAAGTTGAAATGACTTGTTTCATACTTGTTGTTAAAACAATAAAGTTTACAAAATAGAATATTTGACATTATATCTTAGTTGTTTTTTCCTCTTCATATCAAACCTAAATTCAATTAATAAATGAAAGAAACACAGTGATGCTTGGTTCATTGCTATATATTAACTATTTATCATAAGACTACCATGATGTACAGCGTAATAACTTTCCTTGGTTATCAGACCTAACTCGCAGTTGTTCATATGAGAGATAAATGCTATGCAGTGCTGCAGACGGACAGCTGAGATATGCAAATGTGTCGTTGGAGCTAGAGCTAGCACTACTTGTTCGGCGACTGCTTTCCTGTTCCTCGAAGACGGTTCCTAATTGTCTCCACGGACAACAAGATGCCTTTTCATGCAGTCTTTGAAGCGCAGTTTAGATATGCCAGAAAGGAAATCATACGAACCACAAGCCCAGTTCATCGGAGCTGACGTTTGGTTAGTATGGCGTCATCGCAGGGCACACCTTTCCAACTCCTACATGGGAGATTTTTTCACTCCACTTTATTCTAATAAGGTGCTGGAGCTGCAACATTGGCCATTGTTGCTGCCTGTTTATGTAGTGTCTGTACAAAGTGTATGTTTCGTCTGGGTAGAGAACACCTTGCAGTTGAAGCAAATTATTGTCTTGGCTGTCGTCACTTGCAAATGTGCTTGTGAAGGTAAGTAAAGTGATCAGCGTGGTTCAAACTGTTTGCATTCATGAGCATAATGGGAGGATCCGGATGTGGTTGACGTGGGATGTGGCACTGACGACGAAGCGGAAAGCTATTAGCCGATATATGACAACTTTCGGTACCACTGCGAGTTGAGAGATAAAACAGTTAGAGAACAAATCCTGTGCCAGAGGTCCCTTTGTGATTCGATCCGTGTGGAGTGCCTTACCAAAAAGATGTTCGTGAGTTTTTTTTCCTTTTCCAAAGCGTCTGATAGCAAGAGTCTCAAAGAATGAACAATTTAGAGCTCGTATCCCTAATAAATCAAACATGACAACCCCGAGGACCGGCTCCGAGATCATCAAATGATTTTAACATTAACATTGTATTTAGTTCCGACTTAGCCAATCGTATATAATGCCATGAAAAGTGACGTCATGCGTGATTCGCCAATCAAAATAATTAAGTTTTAGATTGTAACGTGATCTTGGGGCCTGATGTTTTCCAGCAAAAAATCCCTCTAAATTCAGAATATTTCTATTTACAGGCCACGTATATATTATCTATTAAATATGAAATTCAGCTAGTCGTTTTACATTTCAACAACATAACTGGTATTCAACACAAGTTTGTTTCATTCAAAAACTTTTAAAGATTTACGATATGAATACACCAGATAAGACGGAATGAAAGTATTCATTTTTCGTCAAAGTCATTCATAGTTAAATACTGGAAATAAGATTTCATGTGTGGTTCGCAAAATGTAAGTACAGGGAAAATCAAAATGGAATTGATTATATATATTCATGAATGAATCTATGTTCGCGTGTTTTATTGTGCATATAAAAGTTCACATTAACACTAATGCTATACTTACCATAAAACCACATTATGGCTATAACCTCTAGAAGGGCTATCACTACCACAGACCACGTTGGTAGATACCAGTCCACCAGCTGGAACATGTACGGTCCCGCCTAGGAATAAAAATGTATTTGTGTCAATTCGGACGTATTTGTACTAGTTCTAAAGTAGTTTAATAGAGTACACCATATATGTGTTTGGTAGTATTGGGTTTACTTCGACGCATCCGTCAATATTTACCACTTTCAGCTAGACTTAAATTTTTTCACGCATGTATTTTTCCCCACTTCATGTACAGTAGCACAGTATGGAGCGGATGCTCTTTAAATCTTCTACAAAAACTGTCAAAAGCGCAGAAACAAGCTGCAAGATTACTGTTGGATGCTCCATTTGATACACCATCAGTAGAAATGTTTTCTTCATTAGGGTGGTTACCAATTGGCAAATATTTGAAATTCAAAAGAGGTGTTATGGTGTACAAATGTATAAATAATCTAGTTCCAGGATATCTTTCTAATCAATTTAATTTGTCTAACAACAGATATACTAGATCAGCATCCCAAAACTCTGTCAAGGTACCCAAACACCGTACCACATTTTATTCCAAACACTTTTTGGTACAAGGGAGCCAGATTTGGAATAATTTACCGGTTGAAGTAAGACTCTCTTCCTCCTTGACAAAACTCAAACAAAATATGATTGGTAACATTAAGAATGCGGTTTAATTGTCTTTTATTTTTACTATTATACTTTTTAGATACAGCTTTGATTTGTTTTATTTTCGCTATATTAGCGTGTATTCTGTCAATTTTTAGCTTTTGCTACATTAGCATATATGTAAATTAGACAATTTGTCTTTTAATGAAAACCATAATGGGTTAAGCACGGAATATATTTCGTGCTTCTGTGATAATTTTATTGTAATTGTATTGAACGACCGTTTAAATTATGAAATAACTGTGATATGAATTGCTGTTTTAGTAGACCAACAATTATTTTATGTACATTTATTTGATGTGATACTACTTTGTCTTTTAACTAACCAATTTTACTAACAGAGGACCCTGTGGAAGATTAGCTTTGCTAAACAGGTTTTGTATCCTCAATAAATAAAGTTTATTATTATTATTATTATTATTATTTTGCACTAGACTGTAGAGTAATCTGTTAGCACTACGGACTTGCATATCTCACCTCCAAAATGATTAACTCTTTTGCATAGCTGACGCGTCTTTAAAATAGTTTAGAAATAACCAAAAATAAAAATCAATCATGTTTTCTGAATCAATGCCTATAAATGAATGGAACTGTTATAGTATCTTAATTATATTTAAAACCACCGTATTTTAAAATCGTGCTTAAAATTTATTAAATGTCTATTTGCGTGTTTATGAATGGCGCATATATTGAAATTTAAATCAACAATACATGTTTCTGCTATGATTATTTAAAAGCTGGCCATTGTTCGGTTCATATTGAAAACATATGTACCATTTAGACATATTATCACCCGATATACAGGTATTAAAATACATCTTGTAACAATTTATTCATATTTTTTTTTAATTTGTTGGGAAAATTAATCGAAACTTTGCATGGATACGCACTTGTTACAATATTGTAATATGTTGAACGCATCAATATTAATATAAATGTACGTGCAAATGAGTAAGCAATGATAATGATTATTTTAAAGAAAAAAACTACTTTGCATGATGAAATCAACAATTTTTGAAATTTGGAATAACAATGTACATGCCGATTAAAAATAGAGTATTAATGTAGTGAAGGCCATTTCTGCATAAAGTATTGAACTCCAGAGTACAAACATGCAAGTGTTCTTGTGATAAGTGTAATAAAACTTGAAGAATGATTTCGTGGAAACAAAGACATATTTGTCTGTATCTGTTTTATTGAATTGAAAATATCTGTAAAGAAAACAAGCATATAGAATATTACACCCAGTGAAGATGTTTTACCTGTGTACAAAAAGGGAGATTGAAGAGAAGCATGACAATGTTGACCAGTACCACCAGTAGTAGGTGGCCGTGTCGACCTAGTCTAGCACTGAATCCTTCCATGAATGACACCACCGTCTCGGTGCAAACCACCTACAAACATCGGTAACAAAATTATTTTCTAATATTAAACCAAAATACATTTCATAAATAAACTTGGTATTCAAAACCTTCTTGTCACCATATGTTATATATTATGTATGCTTCCATATATCATTTGACACTGAACAAGAGGCCCAGAGGGCCTGTATCTCTCAACTGGATATCCAAGAAATCATGGCAAAATATTCTCCAAATAAGATCCAAGGGAATGGGCCAGACCCCTAGGCCAATCCTTGTAGCATATCTGTATTAGATTTTTCATGCCGAGCAATTTTATGTATAGTTATTGGGTCAGGATCTCAACTGTGTCCAAGCTGTGACTCAGAAACTAGGTCCCTAGGTTTGTGGCAAGACCCCAGGATCAATTGTCATATCATGACTGCATTCGTCTCTTTATGCCCAGCATTTGTATATATACTTTTGGGTTGGGGATCTCAACCGTTTCAAAGTTGTGACCCATGTAAGTCTGCAAGGGTTGGGCAGACCCCAGGATTTGTATATAAAGTTTTGGGGTGGGGATCTATATAACCCATAAACTAAGTCCCTAGGGGTGGGGAAATACCCTAGGGCCCATTATGATTGTGTTTATCTCTTGATGCCCAGCAATACTATATATGGTTATGGGGTGGGGATCTCAACTGTTTCAAAGATACAACGATCCATAACGTACAATATTGACCCCACCCTACCACCTGACCCCTTGACCACAGGGCCATACATTTCATAAATTCAAAAGAGAGCTAGTTAATGATTATACTTAAATGCGCCATTACTCTCTGCTACTTGAAGGAGTAGAGAAGAAGATTTTAAAGATTACCCCATGTTTTACCTATTTGGCCCCGCCCCTCAGGCCCCTGGGGTTGCAGCCCCATAATTTCATAAAGTCAGATCCCCATGTCCTAGTGATGCTCCAAGTCGAATTTAGTCAAAATTGGCCCATTAGTTTTGAAGAAGAAAATTAAATGTATGAATACATAATTACATAACAAGCAAATATTGACCCCGCCCTACATCCTGACTCCTTGACCCCAGGGCCATAAAATTCATGAATTCAAAAGAGTGCTAGTTCGGGCCAGGTGAGCTAAAAACATCAAGAGTGAATTGGGAACTTTTTATCGGCATGTCTATAACTTATTTCTGAAAAGAAATACCTTACAAAACTTTAATGATTAAATGGTAAATATGAAATCAATAAATACAACCTAATAAACAACAGTGTTGTGAATTCAACAATCCAGCGGAGCCAGACCAGGATTCGAGGCCTGGACCTCAGTCTCATTAACAGGTCTCTCTTACAAACTGAGCTACATCCATCTTTGGTAGTACACTGGCAAAGTCGCGCAACAGTAATAGTTATATCGAAAACTTTATCAAAGAGAGGTTAATGTTTGTACAAAAAAAACTTGTTGTGCCATCAATAGGGCGGTTATCTTTAACAAGCCTTTATTACCATTTATCGACAGTACAAGCAATAGTCCATGTAACAACAATTTTACAAGAATAATAAACGTTATTTTGTATAAAAATTAAAGAAAGCAAATATTATAGCGTTTTATACAATGGTATGCAGTAATCATGTTTGTTATACCTGTGCGTCGAGTCCTACAATGGTGACCGCAAAGAAAAACACCACAGCCCAGATATAAGGCGCAGGAAGGTATGTCAATGCCCGAGTGTAGCCTACCAGGCCAATTGACATCCCTGAATGGAAACGTAGAACACGTGAAATGCAAGAATAACGACATAACATCAACTTTTCTTTGTATTTATTGTACGTATATGATAAACCTACTAACATGGATAACAATTTGAACTTTTCCTAGGATTAATATCCTAGTGCAATACGCATATACATATTTTCATTAGTTAAAAGTATTGTTAAGTAATATTTAGACAGTGACTTTGGCAGGAATGCCTCATTAACCAGTGTTAAAAGTGCGTTTCCTAAGTGATTTTCTAATTTGTGAGTTTGCGTTTTCGTATTTATTTTTTTCAAATTCGCTTTTATAAACGACTATCGGAATATATGTTTTCCATGTGAAGGTAAGTCTCGTGATATAAAAATATGTTAAATAGCATTACGACTTACTTTATTTTGAAAACAAATGTACGTCCTCTATATACGGTACGTGTATTTTTCGATACCTGGTCTTTCTCAGTATCTAAAATTCTTTTGGTCAATTTGTTTACCCTATTTACATTAAATATGTTTTACTATGAGATTCCGTCCTGGAACTATTACTCACATATAAAAGAATGAGTTTTCTGTGTAACGGAAAATTTAGCTGTTGATGCACATAAAATAAATCTCTCTGCATTGAAAAAAAA